GAGCCTGGAGAGGGGGAGAAGAGGGGGTGGTGGACAGGGCAGAACAGCCACAGAGGGAGCCAAGGGCTGCCACATGCATTAGATTAGGGACCAGGTCCTCCCACAGTTAGATTTGTGGGACACCCTCAGGAGCACCCTCCAGCAGAAAGCCCGTGGTCCCAAAGACCCTGCTACAAACACCTACATCCCCATTCCCTGTCCCATCACTCACACACCCAACTAACCCTGTGTCACCACTATCCTCGGCCCCAGCCATGCTCTCCCAGCCTAGTATAGCCAGACTGGACCCCACAGCAAGAAGTGAAATTGAGTTTCCTGACCAGTCCATGCACAGACATTGCCTTCACCAAAGGACAAGCACTGGCTCCCTCCTGCTTGTGTGCTTCCCCTCCAGCCATGCTGCCTGCTCCCCTCAAGCTCTGCTCCCCAGCTTGCCAGGGCCATACCCTGCTGTAGAACTGGAGGAGGGTGTTGTAGAGCATCTGGTGCTTCTCAGCCAGGAAGCGGTAGCGGCGTTTCTCCTCCAGCTCAGCTTCCCTCTGGCTCTCGGAGACGAACACGTGCATTTCCGAGCGCAGACGCATCACATTCTCCTGGGCCACGGGGGAAAGAGGGAAGAAGGGATCAGCATAAATCCAGCAGAGTGGGATCGCACACAGCAGAGGAAGGGCTGAAATGGGTCATCATGTCTACCAGCTTCCCAGTCCACTCGCAGTGCTGGAGGAGCAAAGAGGAGCTAGAGCAGAGTGCCAGGGATGAAGTCTTTCCACACTAATGCTTGCTAAATGAGGAAAGGGCTTGGCAAGAATGAGCACTGCCGGTCAGCAGCACCCTGTATCTTCCTCCTTTGCAGACAAGCCTGCTGCCTTTTGAATGTCAGGGCAAAACCCTTGGCGTTTAAGGAAGGACAAAGTTACTAAGAAATCAGCCCTGGCTCCAGAGAAATCACCCAGTTCTCTTTCCACCTCCCCTCCCTGCAGTCACTGCTTACCTTCATCTCACGGGCATTTTTATCACGGGCCCTCTCCATTCTCCACAGCTCTGCCATGCACTTATCCAGGTTAGTGGCTCTGCGTTGGTACTCCAGTTCATACTGCTTCTGGCTCTCCTGTCAGGGAGAAACCAGGCTGGGTGAGAAACCAGAGACCCAGGCACACTGATGCAGCAAGGGTCCTGCTATGATGAGTGGTTGAACGTCTGAGTCCCTCTGAAATCAGGCTTTACCTGGACCTCTTATAAAATGTCTTTCTTTATCTTCCTCTTCATTTTGAACCACCCCAAAATACTGATGAACCTCAAGAACTCAGGAGCAAAAACTGGCACCCAGCTACCCTGGCACTGGGAACAAAGCCCCAGCCTCTGTCTCCCTCCATAACATGACCCACCAGCATGGCCAGCTGGGCCACAATGGCACAGGACCCACAACCATGAGGAGGCTGTGGTTTAGGGAAGCTGGAAACTCTGCTTTTGGGATTCTGAACCTTTCAGCCCCGTTGAAGCATTTGGCAAGTCCCACTGCACAAAGAACCTGCCCTCTTCAGCACTCCATTACCAGCCAAACTAGGGGGAGGTTTGGTCCATGATGGGAGAAGATAAGCCCCCCTAACTCCTGCTAAGGAAAGTCAAGGAAACACTTCAAGTGCTCAAGCAAAAGCCCTTGGGTAGAGGAAAGATGAAAATGAGAAGAATTGAGAAGCAAGGTAATCACTCACGCTGATGAACTGTACGTCCATTTTGGTGTTCTTCTCCATGTGCTGCAGCAGGTCCACGTGGAAAGTCTGAGCCTGGAAGAGGCAAAGGAGCCATCACCCTCATCCCTTCACCATATGGGGTGTTACAAGCACTGTGGTGAGGGATGGCTTGTAAAACCTGTTGACTCTCTTGCCACCTGGACCTCTTACAGAAGCCAGAAATATGCATATCAAGGCTACCCTGAAGCAGACTGGGGGTCAGCACTCAGCATCCACCTGGCCATGGGTCACCCTTGAGCTTCGGCACAGGCACAAACAGCAGTGTCTGGAAGGATTAGCATCCCCTCCATTCCTTCCCACAACTGTGACCCAGGGAAAGAGAGGATGGGAATGCCACATCTTCAGAGCCAGGCACTGCTCAGTCCAACACACACCCACCACCACGCCTATAGAGCAGTGGTAACAGTCCACCAACAGCACCAAACATTGAACACCAGCTCTGGGCATGCGGCTCCGTAACACGCCTCTGTCACATGCAGCAGGGAGAGCAGGGGGCAGGCGCTCTCCAGCAGGCAGGTGAGATGGCAGGAAATGGGGCAAACTGGGCAAATGCTGTTGTTGAGGAAGTCCCTTGATTCCCCACCTGCACCAGCCCTCGGGAAAACCACTCACCACAACTTCCAAATCAGAGCTCAGGACTCTCTGCGTGTTGGACATCTGCATCAGAATTTCACCTGCGAGGAAAGAGAGAGGAGAAGGTGGGGAAATCCAGCAGCCATTTCCTTGTGTGCCCAAGGCAGCAGACCAGCAGCATGCAACTCAGGCTGATGAAATACAGGTGTGAAAGTCCAACAGCTATCACAAAACACTGCTCTCTGCACCCTGCAGGAGGCTGGTAGCCTTCCTCTCAGGTCTCAGTTCCACCACCACTCCCAGGCACTGCCAGAGTGGGGTTGCTCCAGCCCATGAAGCTGCCAGACCAGAGCTCTGCTACAGCCCCATGTGCCAGCAGGGTGCTGGGTTCCTGCTCTGCCACAGCCTCCACAGTTCCCATTTTTAACCCCAGTGGCACCCCAGCTGCAGTGCATGGTTCTGGGTGTCCTACAGGAAAGAAGCTACAGCACCTGCTGCTGGTTGGAACTAGATGATCTTAAGGTCCTTTCCAACCCTAACCATTATATGATTCTATGATGCTGTGCATGGTCCTGCTTCACTGCTGTTGTTATTATGAAGCTGGGAAAGGAAGACACTGATGCCAGGGAGCAGAGGAACTAGCTGGGTGATGCAGATGTCTGTAGGAGTCCCTATAGAAGGGACACATCTGCTGGAAGCTTATTACTAAAATGATTAGCAATAGAGCAGCTTCCTGAACATATTTTCAGCAGCCATCATTAGGCTGCAGAATTATTTGCCCTTCAGCTCCGAGCTGCCATTTCATCTGGCTGGGGGCTCAGGACAACAACCGCCCCACCAGCTATTGTCAGTCCATGCTTTTTCCTCACACCTGCGAGGAGGAGAAAAATGGTTCCTCCAAGATGGAAACTTCAGCTCTTAGGGAAGTAAGGACTGGTTTCCATGAGAAGTCCATCCCAGGAGCTCAGTCATTGATCTCAGAGAGACACAGGAGAGAGGGCTAGGGCCTTGGGGCTATTCAAGGACATACAATAAATGTGACTCTAACCACACAGACAGTGCCTGATGCTGTGAGACACCATTTAGAGGAGCTGTCTGCCTTCTCCCAGTACCTGGAAAAGGACCAGGTAAGAAGGAAAGACAAAAGCACGTAACTGTGGCTCATCACAGGACAGAGAATCATAAATGGTAGAGCCTTACCCAGCATGTGTGAGGTGGAGCTCTGCAGTGCTTGCTCCCCAATCTTTTCAATCGCCTTAAAATACACTTCAGCAGCTTTGGATAATGCTGTGAGTAGAGAAGACGGGAGGTGAGGATCTGGTCTGCCTTCCCACCATTACCAGCCCCAGCAAGCAGTACGCAGGACAGCCACCCCCTGGTACCTCATCTATAGGCAAGGGCACCCCATTTCTCCCAATCTGTGCCTAATAACAGCAGTGGGTCTCGGAGCAGAAGGTACTTAAAAGCAGCACAGGACATTATAAAAGTGGGGGGACCAGCAACTTTGTGATGGCATAGTGGACACTCGGGTGGATGCAGCAGCTTGGTCTGGCTATGTGGGACCCCACTCACCATGGAAGGCACGCAGATAGTTGTTTCCCAGGTACACCAGGTTCTCCAGCGCAGGGTTGAACTGCTCCAGGATACTCTGTGGCCAGGCAGAAGCATGTTAACACCAGTCTGCCCCACACCCCAGAGACCTCAGCAGGTTGATGTCCTCCTGCTGTGGTGCAGCTGGGTGCCGCAGGCACACAGGGAGCTTCCACAGCCACAGCCTCGATAGCCATGGTGATGTGCAGCCCCGCACAAAGTCAGGTCCCTGCGCCAGGGGGACCTTTGGCTGCCCTGAATCCTCTCCAGACAGCCAGGAGAGAGGAAATACCAGAGGGCAAGGCAACCTGCTGCAGGGCCAAGTGGTCACCTGAAGATGGCTGTCTCCCCGGGCCTTGCGGCCACTGCAGACACAGGAGTAACTCAGGGGGATCCGAGCAGCCTTTACCCTCACCCCATCAACTCGATGCTTATTATCCAGGCATGAACATGACTTTTTCCTGACTGGGATGTGGTGCACTGACAGACGAGGGAGCTTAGTAAGAGAAGGGATGGACTGCATCAGACCAGCCTCCCTGCTCTTGCCTGCTGTATTTATCAAAGGTGTTTATTGCCTAGAGCAGAGATTCTTTCTTTCCTTTCTCCCAGTCCTCACCAGCTTGGTACAGCACTGATGGGCACAGGGAACCATTTGTGAGATCAGACTGCTCTTTCCAGCAAGGAAGAAAACAGCCGACTGAACACCTCCTTCCTACCAGCAACCAAGGTGTGTTATCCTGAGGAATAGCATGAAGGTTCCATGTCCGAACCACACTGCTTACCCAATTCCTTCACAGATCTGCCTTAAGACCCACACCACCTTGCCCTCCTGCCAGCCATCTGCTTTCAAACACAGCGCAGAGCCCGCAGGAGCTGCTGCTTCCCTGGGGAAGAGATCAAGCCCTTGGCTGTCCACCCAAGAGAGAAAACAGCTCTTTTCCTCCCCCCGCATGCATCTCTCTCTAGGCAGACAGGAGCAGCCTTTGGTGCCAGCACTCACCTTATAGATGGAGATGGTGGATCTGTAGGACAGGTCCATCTCTGGAGCCTTTCCCCTCTCCCAGAGAGAAGCAAGGAGTAAAGGAAAGCACAAGGTGCTATCGTGGCCTGGAGGACTCTGTTTCTGCACAGCCGGCTGGATGGAAGGAGCCTGTTGCTGACAAGGAAGGACAGCAGGAAGACACAGCCGTGGTACAAAGGGAATGGAGCACTGCTGGAGTTTAATAATTCACCAGCCGAGAGACTGGAACTTGATCTCTGGAAGTAACCGGACTCTTGGGTAGAGAGGAATCCTGCGACAGCCAGCAAGGGCATGTGAGCGCCTCCCTGCATTATTGATGGCCGGGCTGGTACCCCACTCTGCCTGCCCCAACACCTGCAGAGCCAGCCACCTGCCAGAGAAACTGCCTTATGGCTCGCTGGCTCCCTCACTGCCACCATTCAAGGTGGCTTTATTCAGCTCGCTGTGCTAGAGGAGCACCTTCAGGTCTCACACGCATACACCCCCACAAGTCAGGAGATCCCTATCAGCTTGTGATTGCAGGCAGCAAATAGCAGAGGGACAGGTAAAGAAAGCTCAGGATGGGTTCCACCTCTTCCCTGCCCACTATTCCCCCACCCCAGGCATCAGCCCTCTGACTATTTGCTTCCGTCCCACTGCCAGTGAGACTCCCTAATGGGAGGCACAACCTTGTGCCTGAACCCTCCTGGTCTCCCTGCTTGCGTGCAAGGATCCCCAACACAGCATTACTCTGGGAAGTCCCTGCAGATGGTGCAGGCTTATAAAGAGGGAAGGAGTGCAAGCCAGGGCCAAAAAGCAGAAAGGAGCTCATGTTCTCTCCATTTCAAGATGTGGAGTTTTGGTTTCCATGGGAAGGTAAGCCCTTTTTTTATGTAGGAAAATAAAATCATTACTCCACATTAGAAGCCACTTAATTTCACAATCTCATTTGTGAAACTGAAGATCAGAAGGCAGATAATCAGTTTTCAGCCCTATTCGTGCCAGTGCCCACCCCATGGTGGTGTCCCTTAGGAACCAGTGGCACAGGTCCAGCAGGCTTGCAGCAGTTACCTGACCCAGGAACCCACTGGGGATACCAAAACTAAAGCCCTGTCTACTTGTATCATTAGTATCTCAAACGGATTTCAGCACTCCTCTTTTCAGCCTGGCCAGCTCCACGAGGATTTTTATATGGCAGCTGCTCCACACCCTTTCCCCCTAGCTGCAACTGATAAGCCCAGCACGCAACGCTGTGCTTCATGGGACAGCCAACAATCACCCCACTCACCTGCTCCCAGGGCTGGCTGCAGGGACAGGCCATTCACCTCTGCAGCCCACATAAAGGTAGAATCCTGTGTCTCATGGAGCCCAATACCCGATTTTCTACCTGTATGAAATTCAGAGGCTGCAAGCTCAGGACTGAGAGAGAGACAAGACAATCATGCACTGCATAACAGCGGAACCACACGCAAACCTCTCTTTATTTCAGGTCATGTTAGTTTTGCACAGAAGCACTCTTCGCAACAGCAGTCCCTTCAAGTCAAAAGCAACTGATTAAGAATCCAGTTTTTCAGGTTACTCCTCAAAACACCTCCAAATAGATAAATAAACTATTTGTAAACATGAAAAATTCACTGCAGAAACAACGAGTAGTGCAGCAGTCAGAATAGGATTTCCAACAATCGAAAAAGTAAATCCAAATTGTCAGTTTCTTTGGTGGGAACTGAACTCAGAGCATTTCAGTTCTACATTAAAAATAAACAATCTCTATCCCAAGCCAAGGCTACAGACCCTCGTCTCGAGTTTGCTGTGAGTAAAGACAGGGTTTCACATCTCAGCCCTTGAGCAGAGTAGCACAGCAAACCAGGTGGCACAAAATGGTCTTTGGGGGGGTCTGCTCCCACCCTGGGCAGTCAGTACATGTTGCCAGCCCATCTCAGAGGGGAAAGGGGAAGGTGCTACAGAAGACAACTGCCTCAGCAAAGGTTCCCCTTCTCCTGAAGCCAGTCACAACATTGTGTTGTACCTACTGTGTAAAGCTGCAGAACAGCTCCCCTTCAAATTGGGTGTGTTGAGGGAAGAATTATCCCTTTTCCCTATACTAAACACTCCAAAACACTTTGGCCTCAGCACACCAAGTAATCCCTGAAGCTTTCTCTAGCCATGGCCCATTCTGTGTTGCAGGAAGGTGCATGGTGCTTTGTCAGTGGAGGTGCTGCACAGACAGCAGCCTCCACCTGTTACAGCTCAAGACAGGTAGGTAGGGGCTCTGGCTTCTGGGATGTACCATCAGACACCAAAACTAAGCACAGCAGCAGAGATGGGTCTACCGTACAAAGATAAATGTCAGCATTTCTCTCTGGGAATACATATGTGTGTCCTGGAATACATGTGTATGTGCACTGTTGTCTATTAAATATCATTAATTCTTCATTAGTAGCGGCAGTAGCAGTCCCTCCCCCACCTCAACACCTCAGTTCAAGGGAAAATCCACTCCACTCCAGCGCCTGCTGCTCCTTGTCATGAGGATGCCAAACAGGAACCTCCAGGTCAGTCACAGGGACAGATGTTGCACCAGCTGCTCAAACTGCTCCCGCTGCTGGTAGATGTAAAGCTGGGTGTCCCAGAGAGCGTCCACCAGCACAGAGTCGTTCACCTCATCCAACATCACCTCCGTCTGCAGCTGAGGGCTCAGCCTGCATACAGCAAGCATACAGCATCACCAGCTGAGCACAGACATGAAAACAACAAGGCAGCGAGCCTGACAAAGCACAAGATTTGTGCCAAGTGGCTCCTGAAGTGGCTCCCAGCATAGAATCATAGAATCACAGAATGGTTTGGGTCGGAAAGGACCCTAAAATCATCTTGTTCCAAACCCCCTGCCATGGGCAGGGACACCCCACACTACATCATGTCGCCCAAGGCTCTGTCCAACCTGGCCTTGAACACTTCCAGGGATGGAGCATTTACCACTTCTTCGGGCAACCTGTTCCAGTGCCTCACCACCCTCACAGTAAAAAACTTCTTCCTTATATCTAACCTGAACTTCCCCTGTTTAAGTTTAAACCCATTTACCCCTTGTTTTATTGCTACAGTCCCTGATGAAGAGTCCCTCTCCAGCATCCTTGTAGGCCTCCTATAGATATTGTTCAGATACCGGACATCTAGCAGGCTTGCAGAGCAGAGGCCTTCCCCCTCCTTCAAGGCAAACCTACACTCAAGGCTGAGGCACAGTTCAGCACCTGCACCACCTAAGACACGACTCTAAACCAAGCTGTGCACGGTGGGATAGGACAGGATGCACATCCCCAAAGGACCCTGTTAGCCAGATCCCCCAGACAAGGCATGCTCGGGGCATCAGCTTATACAGCGAGCCATGGCATCCTCCGTCATGTCACTGAGGCATGGGGAGAGGGGGCAGGGGGGCAGGTCTGGGCAGGCATGCCTCTGGAGGGGACACTATTTGGGATGACACATGCCTCAGGCAGGTCTGAAGCAAGAGGGATAAAAATAGGTCAGTGCAGAGAGGGGAAAGTAAGCTCCTACCGGAAATATGGGACATCCATCATCTCGCACCAGGCCCTGGCACGATCCACAGCTGGGCCATCTGCGTCAGTGCACTGCAGGAGAAACAGGCCCACAGTTAGAGCCTGACTCTCACACTGCTCTCCCCCTGCCTGCAAGAGGCTCCCAGCTTCTCTAGCATTTACTAAGTCAAACTGCACAAGCCACAGAGGGAGAGGGAAAACCAGGAGCAAGCGCATGCTGGATGGCACCGGTCACCACCGAGAGATGGGTGGCTTTTATTTGTTTTAATATAAGAACAGTGCTCCTGATCCTTGGGACACAAGGAATTGCACCCTACAGATCCTCCATCCATCACATCACCGAGTGGATTCCCTTAAAGATATCCCCAGGATGACCTGAATCGCAGCCTCCTTGGGATTTCATCTCTATCCATTTCTGTCCCAGCCCAGTACCAACAGAGCCTGTGATTACTACAGGCTTTCTTGGCTATCCTGAGACACCTTCCCTAGGACGCCTGAAATAAAAGACAGGGGAAGCAGAGGGATCTCTCTGGGTATTTTCTGGCTTTAGGAAATTAAAAGGACATAAAGCAACAGAAGCAAGATTATAGTCAGAACCTGTGTTCTGATCTTTCTGGCTTTTATTCATTTGGAGTGTTTTCATGTAATGATCTTCTTTCTGAAGCATGCAAGGACATACGCCTATTACACACTCCTAACCACTGCTCTGAACTACTGTTTTCTATTAATGATACTCCCACTTCTCTAGCATTTAGTAATTTCCCCACTAGGGATAACAAAGCTTTTCTAAATAAAAATGAATTGCTGTTTCCCAAGGTGTGGGTTTTGTTTCTTGTCCAGGTTGCTCAGATGATAATCAGTGCTCCCTGAAAGATACCGAGATTCACGAACTCACACCTGCAAATGTCCATAAGGGTCACTGACCACCATCCTGTCCTCAGCTCCTTTCAGCCTGAAGAACTTCCCTTGGCACTCAAAACCCCAAAGAGGAAGACATGGCTTCAGACCTGCTGTGCTCCCACAATTCTTAAGTTACCCACTATGTCCATTCCTTGAACAGGTCACAGCAGTGCCAAGGAAATACAATTTTCTTCCTTTTGAAAGACTGGAAACCTTTGCTCCCTTCCTGCAAGCAGCCCCAGGGGTCTTCCCCCATCCCCTCGTCCCAGTACTCACACAATCCACCACCATCTTGCCAAGCTCCCTGGCTCCAAAGACAGTCTTTGCCAGCTCCCACGGGTTGGAGGGGCGGAAAACATCCACAGAGCTCACCGGGACCTGCGGCGGCTTCCCCGTCCCCAGGGAGACCACCAATCCTAATTTTTTTACTTCCTGCCTCCGACCCTGTAGACAAACAAAAGATCTGTTTGCAAGGACCAGCAATTAACACAGAGCATTCCCAACACACACTCCCTTCTAGGGCACTGCGTGGCTAACTTGTTTATTCACTTGAGAGGCATCCATCCATTCCCAAACCTTCTTCACCTTCAAAGGAGGCTCAGTGAAGCCAATAAGGCCCCAGTTACCAGTCAGGGCCAGGATTTCCCTCACCTTCTTGATGAGCGTCTTGTTGTACTCGTGGATCTCCGCCAGGGCATCGAGGGTCGGGTTGTTTGCCAGCAGCCCACCATCCAGAAAGCGGCCTATGGGCCGGAAATAAGTGGGAGCCGCACCGCTGCAGCGGGCAGCGCGCCACACAAGCTGCTCTGGAGGGAGAGAAAGCATAAGGCCTCTTGTAGCAACTCTCCTGGGTGCAAGAAACACCCTGCCTTCACCAGCACAAAGCAGGAGGGCTTGCAACCCCAGGAGACCCTGTCCTAGATAGTGTGCCTCTTTCTCCCAACAGCAGGGACTCTGCTTGGATGCACAGGATTATTGGGGGGTGCTTTAAAACATGTTCTCTATCACGGGTCGAATTCATTCACTACCAGCTTCACTGCAGCTGTTTTGATGGTGAAGCAGTTATGTTTGCTAGACAAAGAAAGGAGCAAGCTGGAGGGGGCTGAATGACTCAGTTACGCAGCTCTTCTGTATTAATCCACTCCTGAGAGCCTAGGGAAAGGTACTGACTGTATGCAGGACTCCTCTAGCATACCCCTTCCTCAGGAACCTCTCTGGCCAGCCCCTGTTCCTGGTACAAGAGAAGCCAAGGGAGAAGGAGAGAGGAGAAAAGGCAACCACCACTTGGACCAAGCTACAAGTCAAGCTCAAGGACAAGCCCTTGCTGGACACCCTGATTTTCAGAGCAATCGGAGGAAGAACAGAAAATCTTCTATCTCTGAGAGATGGCTTTGTCCCCTACCATCCAACTGGACTGCTGTGTGCCAGCACGTACCTTCTGGCTGAGTGAGTGGTCTGAATGATGCGCTTGTCTTGTATTTAGTGGAGGTTTTTGTCTCTGGTACGGGGTAATTCCGGAAAAGGTGGAGTTCAGCTGGCTGCCGGTCACACAATGTCCCTGTCACCATAACCCTGGATTAGAGGACATAACAGAGTACGAGTAAAATGGGAAAAATTGTGTACTTAATATGGCTTCAATATGTATTTATGGCTTCAATAGTCTGCACATCACACTCCTCCAGATCTGCTCTAAGGAGAGGCTGAGCATTTCTGCTGAGAAGGATTTAGAGCACACCCAGGAGAGCACCAACCAGAGCAGCCCCATGCAAGACTTACTTGGGTCTTCGGACATCTGTCATTTTGGTGTTTTCCCCAAATTCCTTCTTCAAGAACTCATCCAGGGGCTCCGACTCGTAGGGCCGAGACCCCCGGAACACCATGTCCTTCATGCGGAAGTACAGGCAGCGCATGTAGTCCATGGACTTCCCTGAGACAGGCAACAGCGTTGGCAGGAGCAAGGAGCAGGAGGAAGGGCAGGCAGAACAAACAGCACATCAGAGCTGGGACTTGCCAGCACCAGCAGAAGATGGGAGGCCTCACTCCCAATCCCATCTCCTTTCCAAGCTGCCTGTCATCTGCTCGGACTTCAGCAGCTTGACTGGGAAGGATTAAAGAGGAAGGGCAAGCTTGGAGCGTAGTTTCCCACTAACAGAAAGTGTTGATCACATTGCTGTAAAACCCCCATGGAAAGGGCAGGAAGAACAGGACATTGCACTCTGCCAGCACACACTTCCCAAAACCCAGAAAGCCACTCAAGGCCAGCTGACATGAGAAGCGAGAGAGAAGAGAGCAAGAAAGCCTTCCTTTATTAATGAACATCCCTTCCCTCCTTTGGCAGGGACAGCAAATCTCAAATGGGACTCAAGAGAGGCAGCTTCCAACCCACAGAGGAGAGCTCAGGCACACAGGAGCAAGAAGGGGCTCACTATTGCACTGTCCTCACCATGTACAATAGCCAAGGCCAAGATTCCCCCAGTGCTGGTCCCAGCGATCCAGTCAAAAATCTCACGAATGGGACGGCCCACAGCCTTTTCAATAGCCAGAAGGAACTGGATGAGCACCAGGCCCCGGATGCCCCCTCCATCCAGGCACAGGAGGCGGTCGTGACTGCAGAGAGACAGACACAGATGACTGGGAGCTGTGGGACACCTTACACATCACAGCATGCCACATGGGAATGTGGCCCTAAGGACGGGAAGCTATGCCAGTAACTAGAATGCTGCTGTGGACTGAGTAATCAGTGAACAAATAAATCCAGAGGTGCTTCCTCAGATGCAAGTTAATACTGGGCACAGCCAGATAAGCCTCATGAGAGATGGTGCAACGACACTTGCTCTTTTAGCCATCTCTAACCTCTACCACCAGAGAGACATTCCCAAGCTGAAAATGCCCCCAGGTCCCTTGGGTATTGTGTCATAAATAAAAAGCAGACAGCCCTGCAGTGCCAACCCTTCCTCTGCTCCGTGAAAGGCAAGGTGCAGGCACTGTCAAGGCAGTGCACAGCCTGGCAAAGGAGCTGGGTGAGCATCAGGGTAGCACGTGGAAATGGGGAAATCTCAAGGCCAAACCAGCATTTGGTGCCCAGTGGCAGAGGGGAGGGATAGAGGAGGGGTTTCAGTTGCTGAGCTCTGGCTCCACTGCAGCTCCACGGCTGCCCTCAGGAACAGGCAGTGGTCATTTATGGGAACAGAGATTTAGCACAAGGCAAAAACTGCATCAATGGACATTAAATAATGTCAGCTCTAAGGATGCCACACTCAGGTGTTCGTGAGGAGAATTCACACACACAGATTTCACCTTCAAGTTGCATGGTAGCCTGGACAGAAGCTGTTCCTCACTTACTTTCTTCTACCCTCACTGGGTGAGTCCACAACATCTGGTGCCTTCAACAACTGCCCGAGCGCTGCGGAAGCATACAGAAGGTCCTTGTACCCTAGAGGGCCATGAACATGCAGGAGAAAACAGTAGTTAGAGACCACTTTGCTACCTGAGCCCTCTGCTATGTGCCTCTGAGACAGCGGTCAACCAAATTATACTTAATCAACTAGAAAACCTTCAATTATCCTCCCTACTTTCCCTCTGCCCCCAGAAAGCTCAGCCAGAGGAGCCAAACCTCCCACCCGTGTGGTAAATGATTTCCACCACACACAGAGAACATCCAACTCTCTTCCCAATTTAAAAGCTCCCTGCAGGAGACACAGCCACTAGGTACCCCCCTAGATTAAACTCCACACCAATGAGAAGAAACCCCATCCTTTAGAGCAGGCAGCTGGAGATGCACTGGTAAAGACGGAGGATTTGTAGAAGCAGATGATGAGCACAGTAAGCGAGAGAGAAGGCAGAGCCTAGCAGCGTGCCCACTACAGAGTAAACCAAAACCTAAATCTACTCCTGCAAGGTAACCTAGGCAGGAGAGCTGTGGGGACAGGGTGGCTTGTCATTACCACTCAGCTGATGTACACCCAGGCCATCCTGGGTGCAGGGCACCAATCCAGGCTAGGTGAGAAGCCAGCCTGTGAAACCAAAAGAAGAAAGAACAGGGGGAGAGAAGTTAAAATACTCCTGCCAGTGCCCAGGCTGGAAGGTGGCTGTGGATGACAGTGAATGTGGCGAGGAGTTTCTTCGAGGGCCAGAGTCCATGATGAAAAAGGGCCTTGCTCTGCCCCATCAGAGCTGAAATGGGGGGTTGCCTTCACAAGGTCATGGTGAGAAGAAAGTCCTGGTGTCACCAGCCAGTGAGATTTGTGGTGACACAGACGAACTCCAGAGCCTGGGGGGGTTGTCCTCTAGCCCTACAGGAGGGTCTTGGCAAAGGAAAACACCAACCTGAGTGGGGAAGAGGACCACAAGCAGCTGTTATTTACCTGCATGTCCCTCAGGAGGGTCAGAGCCTTGCTCCAAGCCAACTCACCCACAGCCCACTCTGTAATCCCCCCCACTGCCACTGCCTGAGCTCTGGAGCTCCCCAGAGGAGGAAACCCTGGCATCTAGAATAGACCCAAGGGCTTATTCACAGAGTTTGGGCAGTGAACAGCACAAGCCATGACACAGTCATATGTCCAAAGGCAGGCTTTTCCTACACATAACATAAACCCTGTGACCAGGGTCACTTATCCTTGGGCTTCATCCCTTCCCTCTCCCAGCAGCTGGCCTTCAGGATCTGAATGAGCAATGATTCTTATTTCCTTTGTGCCCAGCACAACACTGGTAGGTCCTCAAGGCATACCAGCAAGTATCTCCCCTTCTATACATGACCCAGTGCATAAAGTACATGCAGGTAACTAAGTCCTACACCTCTTCCAGAAGGGTGAGGGAATGAGTCTTCCTTTTCCTTTTTACAGAGCTGTATTGTGTCAGGTCTATAAACCAGAAGTTTAGAGTACAAAAGTTTAGAGTACACTCACAGGAAAAACAGAGAAAAGAGACAGAATCTTGCAACAGCTGAATGAGAACAGAGCGACCAGAAACTGAGAGCCAGGAGACAACCCCCAGAACACGACTCATCTGAAGGAGAGATCTGAGACAGCATTGTGAAGCAAGAAGGGAGGAGAGCACGGGAGGGCCAGGGAAGGCTTTACCTAAGCTGTTGAAGCTGCTCCGTGAGGAAGGTTGGCCTTCCAGGAAGAAGGAGGTGGCAGGTGGTGCCAGGCTTTGGGACTCAGGGTTGGGTGGGTAGCAGCGTTCGGTCCCTACAGTTTGCAGCAGGTCTAAGAGCACCTTCCGGTTCGCGCCTTAGGTGACGAAGGGGAGTCACAGATCAGAAAGAGAATCAGTGCACGCAAACACTGGTGGGGGCTCTGCCAAATTCACAGCAGCCCTGACCCTCATAGAACTTCTGGGGTGACCCAAGGGGAGGGAAGAGCACATCCCAGGTATCTGTCCTGGAACATAAGGCAGCAGGACTTGTGCACAGCAGGGTACCCAATGCTGTGCAGCCTCAAGGGTGTGTGCCACACACTTCTTGCCACTGAAGAACTGCTTATGCCTGGGCAGTTCAGCAGCACTGCATCATCCTGTTGTGAGCCTGCATTGCCTGACATCATGGCTTGAAAGAGGGGCAGTGCAGCTTTTCCTCTTGCATCTCTGTCTCACAGAAGAGAAATTCGTCAAGGGCTATTAATACAAAGCCTTACGCCATTAGCTCAGGAAATGCCTACCCTACGAGCGACTAGAAGCTGAGAAAGCATGTTGGAGAAGCATCACCCACGCTTGACATGTTTGCACCTCTCCCCAAGACACTGCTTTGGGCACCAAGGGAGACAGGTTGCCAGCTGAGTTCACCCTGTAAAGTTGCTGATGTGCTCCTCACCTTTGCTGTTCCTGGCTGCCAACAGCCCCGGTGTCTCCCCAGAATCATTGGGGATCTCAATATCTCCTCCAAACACGATGATCGCTTTGATCATATCCAGGTTGTCATGCTAGGGCACAAGAGAAAGCTCAGTCAAGAGCCATGCTCCCCTTGGCTACATGACTTCTCATTCCCTCCCTCCTCACTAGCCAAAGCAGCCACAAGGGATCACCCCGTAAAAGACAACAGCCAGAATTTCAAAGGAGTCTGTCCCTGCCTCAACCCTTCTAGAAAATCCTCTTTCTCCTTCCCAGCAGCCTCTGCAGAAAACTCACCTTCATGGCCAGGTGCAGTGGTGTGTTGCCATCCTGATCCCTGGCATTGGTGTTGGCCCCGTGTGTCAGCAGTACCATGGCACAGTCAAAGCGTCCCCTCTTGACCGCAATGTGCAGAGCCATGTCAGCCGTCCGGCTGGTCACATTCACCTCAGACCCATACTCCAGCAGCAGCTGTGTCATCTGTGCCCAAGTGTGCACGTGCCAGGTCAAGAAGAGAGAAAGGCATCATGAGGACAACTGCCTGGACGCTCAAATGATCCAGGTCTCATGGCAAACAAAGCAGAGGAAGAGGAAGGAGCCTTAGCCTGGATACAGCTGGCTGGCAGATGCCAGCTGCATTGTTCTAAGTGCTGAAGATTGGGTTTCTCTGCCCTTCTACCACAGAACTAGTTGGTGGTTTCACAATCTGGCTAGAGATTCCAAATGTTTTGGGACTTGTATGCAAGCGTAATGACTGGCTGAGATCAACACAGAGAAAAAAGTTCCTACTCAAGCCAAAATCCTTGCAGACTGGAGGGAAATAGTCTGCTTTTTCATCTTCTCTTTATAAGCCAAGCAGATTTATGCCTGCTCTGAAACTCCACAGGACATTCCTGAGAGGAATGTGATACTGCAGGAGGGAAACCAGTCCATCCATAAGAATATCCTTTGCTTGCAACAAGCACCATTCAGGTGCTCCAGCATGGCAAATCACACATGGCAGAAGACAGATCGTATCCCATATGCTACCACCCTGTGCTACCTCACTCTTCCCTTGCAGTTTTTAAGGCATCAGTGTTTCCTCCCATGAAACTGGCAGGTCATGAGAAGAGAGCTCCCCCCAGGGGCAGCTGGGCTTCAGTGACAGTGCTCAATTTTCCCATCAAAAGGGACAAACTGGCAATTTCACGGCCATGGATGAAACACTAGGGACAAGCCCACCAGTTTATTTCACTGCAAGGCTCCACTGTCCTGTCCCCCGTGGCAAACAGCACTGATCACCACAGGGCAAAGAGAATCAAACATCAGGCTGCTGGCTGGGCTCTACCACTCTGAGGGCTCTGCTTGTGCGCTCAGAAAGGGACGGGTTAGCAGCAGGAGGAATTAATCAGGTGCTGGGTGGCAGTACAGCCCCTCATCACAGATCGGCTCCATTTACCTCTGCCTTCTTCGCCCAGTGAAGTGGAGTGGCTTCATGGCGTGGGTCCTTGGAGTGAACCTGGCTGGCATCCACCTCCAGGATGGCCTGGGCACACCTGGCAAAGACAAGGAGATGAAGGGATGGGTGGCTGGCTGCTGCCTTGACTCAAGACCTCCACTCACATCAGCACCAGCCTCCTGCCCAGAGCCTTTCAGGAAACCCTTCAGCAGCAGCAGGCTCTCTGCAACACCTGCAAGTTCCTCATCTGCAGTTTTGGTTTGCTCTATTTAGAAAGGAAGGGCACAATAGGAAGCATACAAGCAGCACAGTGCTTGGAAGAAGCAGGAGAATCCCTTTCCAACTCCAAGCTGTGGAGCAACATCTGCTTCTCCAATACAGGAATATGGCATTTCTGGAAACTCTCAACACCCAACAGGAAATTTTATTCTCCCTCTCTCTCTCCATGGAAACGTGGGGATAAAACTGAAATAGTTAAGTATTTGCTGAAATTAAGGATCCACGTACTTCCCTATGAGTGAAAAATCACACCAGTTGTGAATAGATCAGGATCGAGTGCCTAGAAAACGTGGGTAAACTTATGCTGTCCACTCTGAAACACCACCAAGTAAAGCATGTAGAAGAGATCAAGCCCTACTGCAAACTAAGGGACCTAAGCACATTTTTGGCTTGTAAATGCATCTCTGATGTTGGAAAGCACTTTCAAAATGCTAAAAAATTGGCTAGCAGCAGCTAGTGTTGACTTGAGAGCCCTATTTGTAGAGCTCGGACACAGTGAAAATTAAGTATTATAAGGCACATAGAAGGAGAATCGAATTTCTCCAGGGAAAACAAAACAGGGAATAAATATTGTGTCTTTTTTGATTCAGTTCCAGAGTGCTTATTATTTCCCTGCCCATTGTAGGGAGGTTGGAACTTGATGATTTTAAAGTCCTTTCCAACCCAAACCATTCCACGATTCTATGCTTATGAGTACCTTTAGCCTACAGGAGATGAGAATAGCTAGGCTTTGAAATGAAAGGTTATTAGGATCAGAGCACTCAAAGACAGAGGCACAGCAATTAGCAACACCACTTAAGCATCTGTAAATCATCCTCTCACAAGTCATTCTGAGAAAAGGTATTTCACAGACTTCCTCCTACTGAGCACTTCCCTGAAAGGGGTCCATTCTTGGACAACCCTGAGCACACAGACAGGTTCCCAGGCTGGAGGAAGAGTCCTGTTCTGACATCCCAAGCAGTTACCTACCCTTTGTGGGAGAATTTCAGTGCTGTGTGGATGGGGTAGCCCAGCGTGCCCATGACGCTGCACCTGGCACGGCATTTCAGCAGGGACCGAACCATGTCCTCTTTGCCCAGCTGACAAGCGAGATGCAGAGCGGTCAGTCCTTCATGGCTCAGGTGGTCCAAGCCAGTAGTTGGGGTTTTGCCCAGGAGCTGGGGAGAGGAGACAATAAATGAAGAGGCAGACAGACATATGGAAGAGCTCATCTCTCTTCCTGAGCTCTCAAGGATGGACTCTGGAATGTTGGGTTCCTCGCGATGCGACAGCCTGTCCTCTCCACCCCTGCTTCCAACACAGTAGCTATGGAAATGCTCCTTGTTCTCTGTCCCCAAAGGGTTTATTGCGGCTCTCTATGCCCTTCTCCTCTGGCTTGGGTGCTTCTGAGACATCCCTGAGCTGAAAAGGGCTCATGCCACCTTGAATGAAACAGCCCAGCAGACTCCCACCACCTCCCACTGCATAAGCCAAGTTCAGCCCAACAAAACAAGAGTGCTAACTGAAACCAGTAGTTTCCTCTCCTGCTGCAGCCCCATCAGTTACAACGGCCAGTTAGCAGGCAGGAGCTCAACCTCCCCTGCAACTCCACCACTGCTTTCAGGTACAAACAGGATTCTGTTTAAAATAGCCATGTGGGGATATATGTGAAGGCATTTTCCTCTTCTCCCCCTAAACTTTATATCTGTTACCCGCTGTCTGGTTTGTTAAATAAAAATATCCCACTGCCATCCTGGTGGAATCCTGCAAGTCCTGGTGGCAGGAATTTAGAGTTCCTTTTCTCTGGTTTAGCAAGAAATCAAGAAATTAAAAAAAAAAAACAAACAGAAGACAGATCAGACCTGGAAGTATTTCTGTAACAAGCCAAGCTGCTGCCAACAGAGAAATAAAGGAAGAGGCTATCTTTTTAATGCAAAGGTTCTAACTACCCTGCTCCACAGCATGGCAAGCCCTGATAATCATCCCTCCCCCACCATGAGTTAGGAAACCCCAGCACAATCTGGCAGACAGAGGGAGAGCTGTCACAATAGGTATTGGGCAAATAGGGGGTGCTGCCATAGGGGCAAGCCCATCCCACACTCCCACTGGGCTGACAGACCCAGGGAACCAACTTGGGAAGCCACCCACATCTTATGAACCCTGTCACTCTGCCCAAAGCTTCTCAGCAATTGCAGACTCTCTGGTTTCAGACTGTCTCTGCCTCGAGGCCCTGATCACTGTCCCTCATGCAAGGCCACTCAGTTCAAACAACAGGTTCTGCACCTCAGGAGAGCCTGGGGCAGCTCCAAACTGTCCCTCGGTCTGTTGTCAACACATGCTCCCCCACAACAGCCTAAACAAATGCTCCCCTTGCTCTGAGGGGATGGAGAAGGAAAGCCAAGGACCTGAAAAAAGGCAAGATCAAGGCCTGATGCAAATAGCAATGAAGGACACCTTCCAAGGGAACTTGCTTAATATCCTCATTCCACTGCAGGGTCGAATCTGGAGCCTGCTTACGGGAAACAGCACCAGTAAAGGGGGAAAAAAGAAGGTGAAATCACCCTCAAGTATTAACTCAGCAAAGGGAACTGACTTTCTCCTCCATTCTGCAGTTATTTTCCTGTCTCCCTCCTCACAGCACAGAGAACCCATTCCAGACCCACTCCCTCCCAGCTTTGAAGTCACTCGCACCTCGATGATGTGGGGGCTGTTCCCTCGCACCGCATAGTGGAACAGAGTCTCCCCGTGGCTGTCGGTGATGTCCACCCGTGCGTGGCACTCCAGCAGCTCCAGCAGGCACTCCACGTCTCCCTTGCGGCACGCCAAGTGCAGTGGGGTGCAGCCATCCTCACTGTCTATGCTGTTCACACAGCTGCAAGAGAGGAATCAACATGAGGCCAAGGAAGGGCTGCAAAGAGGAGATCATGAAGCTGTCCTGGGAGATGATACAATGGTACCTTCCATGTCTGTGACTGATCCAGCTCATGTGAACCACAGGGTTCACAAAAGCTGGGCCTCCTGCCAGGGAAGGAGCGCAGGGAAGGGCCATCAAGAAGCCCTGCCACAGACCCTGACCTTTGCTCCTTACTCTACTCCCTACATGAGAGCACCTCTCCGTGCCCAAAGGAAGGCAGGGGACAGGTTACAGTCAGCAACCTGGTGCTGCCTCAGACTCTTAACTTTTCACTAGTCTCCCTTATTCTCAGTAAACTTTCCCATGGAAAGAGACCAAGGGCTTGTGGCCAAAACCCTTTTCCAGAAAGACAGTTGTACTGTACCTCCTCTCTCGTGGTTCACAAAGTCAGCCACCATCCCCTCCAAAAAGCAGCTCCACAAGGCCTGTATGAATCTAATTAGTGTCTCTGGCAAAACACTTCAATCCTTTAGCTCAACCACCACAGCTCTGGGCTTTAACATCCACATCAGACGGTTGAAAACCCGCTGATAAGCTTACACAGTGAGCACGGGATTCCCTTTGCTGCCACATCTGTCACTCAGTCAAGACACAGCAAACCGGCACTTTTAAACTGTTTAACCACAGGTATGTTAAGCTCCTCTGTGGAAGTGCTCCCGTTGCTTTGGCACATCAAGCCGGGATAACCTAATCCCGCCATCCTGAGCTCATTCCCAGCATCAGGCCCACCGGAGACCCCTCCCGCCCCTTGCCTCATGACGTGGTTGTGCCGGAAGGTCTCACGATGGCCGATCTCCACCGCGATGTGTGCTGAGGACCAGCTGGGGTGGTTGCGGATGCAGTCGCTGAGCTGCTGGAGCTCCTCCAGTGACAGGGCCTGGCGCGAGCTCTCGTAGAACGGGCGCAGCAGCCTGGCATAGTGCTCGAAACGCACCAGGGCATCTGCTTCATTGTCGAGCTGGAAAAGCCTGGAGGAAAGGTAAACACAGCATTGGTCCGGCTCAAAGAAACAACCTCCATCTCATGGGTATTAGAGAAACAGCTCTTCCCCAAAATTAGTGCTGTGGACTTTCCTCATACCTACTCACGTGGTGTTACACTTCTTCCAAGAGAAGAAGGGAGCCTATTTCATTAGCAGAGAGCACCTATTCTTCCTGAGAACCATCAGCTTTTGAGCCTAAGTATCCAGTGCTCCTGATACTAAAACAGCAACACCAGTGGAAGCCCATGTACCTGCGGATGTTCTGCCCCAAGCACCTCTTTCAGTTGCCTGTTTTCACGGTGGTTTGACTCTGTCCTGCTCTCTTCCCACAAGCTGTTCTGAGGACAACTTTTGATGGCCTCCCCCTCCTCACAAGCCTGCCTCCTGATCAAACCCGCCACCCCACAGCCATGAGGCACTGCAGTCCTAAGCTCGGAGACTTCATGTCTGTAGTTTCATGCTTGAGCAGCGAGCGATAACGGGTCTGTCACTTACCGGAATGCGGCCTGCGGGCTCTGGGGATTCACCAGCAGGCAATCCCAGGTGCGAGCGAGGTTGTTCCTATACAGAGCCACCCTGCCCTCCTCCCTGAGACAGGTGTGCGCCGCATATTCCCCAGCCGGCACCTCCTTCACCCGGTACGGGTTAGTGAATATCTGGGTGACGCTGTTGATGGTGTCCACCAGCCGGCCAAAGAACTGCATCTTTATGGAGCCTCAGGC